AGGTTGTCATGCTAGAATATATGACAGTCACTTAATTTTTGCCAGAGCACAAAGCATGAATTGCTTTGTGTTTCTTGATGCATAGATCTTTGATAAGTGATTGTAGGTTACCTATACACTGTGAAGATTATTTTTTTATGCCAAAATGTTTTTGTGGGTTGTTTAGGGCCATTGAGTAGTTTTCCTTTCTCTCTCTTTCTGGATAATTATCATATTTACTGGATAGTTTTCTTCTCTCTGTCTCAGTCTGGATAATTATCATATTTTTCAGTGTATGATATTATCCCATAACACAGCCATTTCCTGGACCACACTGTGTCCTTCATATGACCTGGTGTGTGTGTGTAACTATATATATATATGCTTCCAGACTGTGGCAGATTGTGTGAGTGCACGTGGTGGCCAACAAGATTCGTTGATCCGGTTGTGTCTAAACATAGAAGAACTACAACCATGTCTTATAAAGCTGCTAACTGAAAAACTTCTAGAAATTGCATATGATGATGAGTAAGTAAACCTGTCATCAAGATATTAAAAAAAACATTTTCTGTCTGTCTCTCTGTCTCTGTCTGTCTGTCTGTCTGTCTGAGTCTCTGTCTGTTTCGGTCTGTCTATCTCCCTCTCTCTCCTCTCTCCCTCTCTCTCCCCTTTCCCTCTCCCTCTCTGTAATGTACCTGTGGTGTGCTTATTCGCTCTCTCTTGTAGGGAACTGCCGATTGTGTCTTGAAGTGAAGTGTCGTGGAGTTGATAGTTAAAGTTGATACAGCTTCAATACTTTATTCTGCGGTAGCATGGTAGGTGGGATACAGAGGTCAGGCGTGGCAGAGTCGCCCAAGGAGGAGCGAGGCCTCGTGCCACGCCCGCAGGCGAGCGGTCTCGAGAGAGAGCTGGAACTTGAGTTGTTGCCTGAGCCGATGCTGAGGGCAGAGTGACTTCGGCTCTCCGAGATTTCAAATGGTTCACAAAATATTCACTAACACAATAATATGGCAACATTGTTCTTTCGTGGGAAATGTCAATACTGGCTCTCTGGTTTACAACAGGGTAAGGGTCTTGTGGTCACAGGTCTGGTCAGTTACACAGGGTATGACAATACAATTAAATCATGAACACTGGATAACTACAGTATCGACAACAATAATGATTACAAACATAGTGATTGAGAATAAGGATTTTTTAACAAACATTTTGAGTATAATCAAGATATAAATTAACATGTAGTTATAGAATATTCGACGATAAGGGTTGGAATCGTTTGCTCTGTGGGCACTTCACTATTGTCGTTATTTTCTGGACTCAGGTCAAACTTGGCACAGTCGATTACCACTAGGGTCTTGGGTACCGTGGGAAGTTGAGGGGGAAGTAGAGGGGACAGGTCATTAAACTCTCTCTCCCCTCTCCCTCTCTCTCTCTCTCCCCACTCCTTCTCTCTCTTCTCTCCCTCTCCCTCTCTCTCCCCTCTCCCTCTCCTTCTCTATCCCCTCCCCCTCTCTCTCCCCTCCCCCTCTCTCCCCCTTCTCCCTCTCTCTCCCCCTTCTCCCTCTTTCTCCCTCTCCCTCTCCCTCTCCCTCTCCCTCTCCCTCTCCCTCTCCCCTCTCCCTCTCTCTCCCCCTTCTCCCTCTCTCTCCCCCTTCTCCCTCCCTCTCCCTCCCCCTCTCTCCCTCTCCCTCTCCCTCTCTCTCTCTCTCTCTCTCTCTCTCTCTTTTTTTTTTTTTTTTTTTTTTTTTTTTTTTTTTTTTTTTTTTTTTAAACCTTTATTTATAGTCATACAGATATACATATAGGTTGAAACCCGTTTGTTTAAAAGTAAGAACAAAGAAAAAACATTCGGGTTTCTTTTTGCAGGTTAAAAGTTACCTATCTAAAGGAGCTTATTTGAAAACCCAACCTATTTTTTATAAATAATAAACGTTAATTTATTATGCTAACACAGACTTTAAAACTTAATTAATCCATAATAAGGTTATATACAATGTTTTCTTATGTGTCGCCATGAGGGTGTAGGAGGTTAAGAGGTGATGGCTGGCTCGACCGCCATCGGTGAGCCGCTGCCTTCACTTGTTGTGTTGTCATTTCGCCGACATCGATGGTGGATGTGAATGCATTCCACAGACGTGCTACTCTGGCAGAGAAGGTGCGCTGATGCTGGCTAGACCGCGACCTCGGAACTTCCACCAGTAGCCGATTAGAGTGTACCGTCCTCGTACTTCTCTCTTGGCCGTGGGGTGGGAGACGGAGGCTGCTTAGATGAGGCACCTGCTGCACCTGAGCCTTGTGGAGCACTGTTAGAGCCCCAACGTCATGACGATGTTCCAGCGCGTCGATGTGGGGAAGATTGGTGGCTTCCTGGATAAGCCTGAGAGCCCGTTTTTCTATTTTATCCAGCTTGTTGAGGCTGGTGGCCGCAGTAGACGACCATACCAACGAGGCATATTCTAGGTGTGGTCTGATCTGGGACTTGTATAGTGTGAGAATTCCCTGAGGATTCAGGAGATGAGATATGCGTCGAAGGGCTGTCACCTTCAGGGAAGCTGTTTTGCAAATCCTGCTGACGTGTCTGTTAAATCTTAGACCACTGTCTATGTCAATACCGAGGACTGACATCAAGTCCTCGAGTGGGAGGGCGGTGTTGTTCATTAAGATTGTGTCTTTCATGACGCCTGATGCAGCTGGAGAGCGGGATATAACCATTGCCTGGGTCTTGTTGGGGGCAAATCTTATTTGCCATTGTGATCCCCATTCGTAGATTGCTTGCAGCTTTGAATTCATATTCGTTGCTACAGCATCATGGTCCTCACGTTGGTATGAAACAGAAAGTGTACAGTCATCGGCATATGCATTGATTTCAGGATGTTCCCTCAGCATATCATCAGTATAAATATTCCAGAGGATTGGGCCAAGTACAGATCCTTGTGGTACCGAAGCCTCTACCGGATACTTCTGGGATGACTGGCCACCGATGACCACTTTAAGTGTTCTTCCAGTTAGATAATTATCAAAGAGCCGCAAGAGGTTACTGCTTATGCCTCTTGCTTGTAGTTTAGCTAGGAGCCCTCTGTGCCACACTCGGTCGAAGGTGTCGGCGATGTCGAGGGCGATCACCAGAGTATCTTGACCGGCATCAAGAGCATCCTGCCAGTTTTTACTCAGCAGTAGAAGAAGGTCAGCAGTCGATCTGGAGGATCTAAAACCAAACTGTCTGGCGGAAATAAGATTGTGGTTTTCCAGGTGTTTCATGAGCTGTTCAGCAATGATCTTTTCAAATACCTTGCTGATGCATGGCAGAAGGGAGATGGGCCGGTAGTTCTCTGGATTTGTTTTTGACTGTTTTTTATGAAGAGGAATCACTCTTGCTTCCTTCCAGATAGTAGGCCAGCAGCTTTCTTCAATGCACGACTGGAAGATAGATGATAAGGGCTGGGATAACTCGGCTGCACACCTACGGAGAATATGTGGGCTAATATCATCTGAACCTGGGGCTTTCTTTGTGTTTAGGTTCTGAAGGATCTCTTTGGTTCTGGTGCGACAGATTTGAATACCAGGGAGTTGTTCATGGCATATTGAGGGTATCTCTGGTGGTGCCCTGTTAGCATCTGGCACTGTCATTTTACAACTGAACATGCTTCCCAGAAGGTTAGCTTTTTCCCGGTTGCTCGAGGCAGTTGTTCCATCGGGCTTGGTTAGTGGAGGCATTGTGGGTTCCCGGGTCTCCCCTTGGTGCTCCTTGACGAGCGACCACCACTCCTTGTTGCCTGCTCCTAAAGTTGACAGTCTGCGCTTTGTATCCTCTTGCCATCTGTTGCGGGCCCATTTGCACGTGGCTGTCATTTCTTTGCAAGCATTTTTGTACAGATGTTTATTGTGTCTTGTGGGATTGGCTTTGTACCTTTGCCACAATCTGTATTTCTTTTTGGAGGCTTGATGACATCTGTAGCCAAACCAGGCTTGGTCCCCCGGTTTTGTGATATATGTCCGTGAAGGGACGTATTTCTCCTGCATTTCAGTGAGGAGGCTGGTGATGGAAGATGCTTTGTCGTTTGCATTCCCCACCAAGAGAACATCCCAGTCTTGTGACTGAAGTTCTGCCTTCATACCTGGCCAGTTTGCATGGTTCCAAAGCCATATTTTTCTTTGTCTCCTTTCATCAGCTGCGGGGGCGAGGCAAAGATGTGATACAACTGCAAGGTGATCTGATGTCCCTATATTGCCGAGCGATGAGCAAGAGATAAAGTCCTCAGTTAGATCAGATATAACAGGGTCGAGAGATCTACCGAGGATGTGTGTCAGGAAATCGACGTAATCTGTCAGCCCGTGAACTGTGAGAAGGTCCTCATATGCTGACTGGATGAGATGGTGATTGAGGTCCCCAACTATTAAGAGATGCTGACAGTTGTTCCGAGCCTGAAGGACGTCTAAATTTTCCGTTAGGAAGTCCATCGGTGCCCTGCCTTGCCACTGCGGCCTGTAGTGAGCGCAAAGTAGTAGGGACTCATTTGATTTCAGCATGACCTTCATAAAGATGGCTTCCAGCCAGTCTGGTAAGTCGACTGTTAGCAGCTGAATTTGCAGGTTCTCTTTGTAGCACACAGCTACACCTCCAAAGTTCTTTCCTGTTCTGTCTCTTCTTTGCCACTGTGAATAGCCTCGTATTTTACCAAAAGCAGGTTCTACTTCTGCATTAAGGAAAGTTTCAGTAGCCACTATTATATCGGCACTGATGTTGAGGGCCATGTGAGTCAACTCACCAATATTGGTCCGGAGGCCTCTGACGTTAGCAGACAGAACTGAGAGGTGTCTCTGCTTATTTTGAGGGGTCATTTAGTATACTGGCCCTTGGTGGTTGTTGAAGTTGTGATGTGACCAAGAGGGAACAGCGAGTTGATGAGCGGTCCAGTGTGGGGGTGGAAAGAAATAACGCTGCTGAAGGGGTGGAGATGGAAGTAGAGGTTGAGGGTGAGCTGCTGTTTTCTGTGTTTGGCAACTTCGATATTCTAGCATGA